GCTTTTGTCTGTAGTCGGTTCAATATCTTCTCTATACTCAAGTCAACCGATCAACCATAAGTAATTCCCTCTTGTCTTCCTATCCTAATTATTAGGACTCGCTGAATTTTCTAATTTTTTTACTTCTATAGCCAATCATAATTTGCGTTTTCCAGAAAACATAGCATCATCAGCATCCTCAGGATTCTCATGGCACCCTCAGATGGCATGAAAGCAAAATAAGAAGAAGGACCGGAATCAGGTGATGATGATGAGGGAAATGATGATGACACTGATAGTGGTGATGATTATGAAAAAGAAGAAAAGGAAGAGTATAACGAATTCGACGATGCTAATGATGATGAGAATTAGTATGCTGACAAGAATAAGAACGAAGAGACGATTATCATGTGAATGTTGATTATGAAAAGATTAAAAATGATGATGAGGCAGTGATCATGAGCAGTTATGTTGATATTGATGAGGATGAACAAGAAGAATATGACGAATCTGACGATGCCGGTGATAAAGAGAATTAAAATGATGATAAAAATAAGAATGAGCACGATGAAAGCGATAGGAAGAGTATGATGTGTATGCTGGTGACAGCATGAAGTGTCGATTTTACTTTTTATTATTAGTATTTTCATTATTATTTAGAGGAGGGCACTATCAGTAGTATAGGATCAAAGAAGCTCAAGAATTAACCAACCCAACTGAGACGGGATGAGTTAAAAAGGAAGAGAGAGAGAGGAAGACAAGGTCACCGACCTCCCAGTCCAATAGCGCAGGCGTAGAACAAGATGGACAGCCCAATGGCCCAGAGGATGTGGTAGAAGGCATTATAGATGGCTGCACCCAGTCTACTCCAGACCCAGGTGCCTTCATAAAACGGGAACAGACCGTAGACCGGATAGAAGCAGCAGGGGAATGCCAGTAGGATGGCGAGGCTGAATCCGGCCATACGATTGCGCAGAGTTCGCTGAGGGTACCGCGAAATGGAATAAAGATAAGAGAGAAGAGTCACAAGCCCTTCGCAACAAATAGCCAACAGTTTTCTCCCCCTTGAAACTGATGCCATCGGGGCTATAATTGCTAGTTGCCTTGGCAAGCAAACAAGCAAAGTGGCGCAAAGTGGCTCTCTGAAGCAGCGATTCGGACGAAAATACCCCGAACTCGAGTCCCCCCGATGGCGGCACATGACCGTCTTTTTAACCCATCATAACAAATCCAACAGCAGGTCAGCAATTTGAGACGGAGGATGGTTGACGATTGCTTCCACGCAAAGAACCATTGCAACATCCTAGCAGCAAGTTACAGTCTTGTGCAGCCACAACAAGTTAATCACTAGGCGTAAAGAAAAAGGGAATTTCATGGACGGTTGCCAGTTCCTATTCAAGATCTACTAACACGCTCGAAGGCCTCTTTAAAACGAAAAAATGTAATTTAGTCGATTTCTGTAGTAAATTGGACGCAGAAATAATACACAAAAAGCCTGGGCTTCTAGAAATTCATGTTTTCCCTGTGGTCTGAAGGAACTCGTTAAAGTGTGGCATAGTGTTTACTGTATTGCGACTATGCTCTGCACTACTACAACG